CTATGTGTTGTCATATGAACTAGAACAAGTGGTGATTATTCAGTAGCGGTGTTTATACAAGTTTGCAAATTGAATATGCTGCGATAACTACAAGCCACCTGCAAATTCACTTCATCTATGGTAGCAAATGAACATATCTGTCCCCTATGTATTGCAGATATCGTAAAAACGGTTATTTGATTTCCAATTATGATAACTCAAGTTTTCTCTCAGTGAACCTACAACTTTGCTATTCAATATATTTCCATAGAACTTGTACTTTTGCCAGAAATTGGAATTATCCGTTTTTCACTTCCCGATGTCAGATCGCCGGTAATTCGTTTCTACTATAATTATTTTTGGTTTAAAAAATTATCGACCCTGGTCTATTCCTATTGAGTAATTCAGAAAATGCTCCAGAAAATCACACCTAATAATCTCACTTGTATCATAAGTTGAGTTTATATTCGTAGGGTACAGGAACAAAACTTGGAATAAGGAGAAGCAGGGAATGGAGCCAGAAGTCACAATCATAATATACAGATTATTAGGCTATATCCCCAATTCAACTGCCAGCAGTGTCAGTATAATACCACTGACTTTGTCGTTCTGATCAAAAATAAGATAATTCATTAGTGAACCAGTTCAGAAGGGATAGGTGGAACATCTGCTTTTGAGATCTGCCACTTTCAGTGAATTTAGATGATTTTGGAATGGAATAAAATCGGCAGATTGGTAGATTCCATGGACGTATAAACAAAGGATACGTCCATGGTAGATTCAGTACGGACAGTTGAGTTCGGGACACAGCCCCAGTGAACCATCATATATTGCAAAGGAGGTGTGATAACTGTGTCAAAAATCCCGGCAAAAAACAATGAATTTATGAAAAAAATCACAGCAAGAACTTAATTCCTTCTTCATCGATCCTGCCATTGCACAATAATGCACAATATTGCCATAAACTATGAAGTAGATGTGTATAAATGCTGGATTTATGAACTCTGAGATCAGTCACCCACGTGGGTGGCTTCGGTGTCCCTCTTACGGTTGATAGGCCTCACACCCCAACGTCTTTCTTGCAGTGCTGCCGTTTCGGTACTTTTGTACTGAATTCAGTACCGTTTGGGTACTTTCGGTACGTCAGTACGACTATTTCTAAATCCTATGTTATTCAGTACCTTTTATGTTCTAACTCTACCAAAAGGCATTGCATAGATAAAGACAACAGAACACAGAACAGTGAACGATGACAGTCAGTGGTGTCCGTGAATGAGTGATGTAACACATTTATTAATGAAACATTGTCAACGTCAGACCAGATTGACCAGAATATACTGTCATTCTGTGACATCACGAAAATTGTAAATTTTCAATTGTCATAATAAATATCTTATGTGTGATTACTTGGATTACAATAATGTTACGTTATTCGGGTGCAGAAGCGAACACGACACTATTTATTTTCGAACTGATTTATTTGAACTATAGAAACACTAATTTATAACGAACTTAGAACTACTATTTATGTAAAACGATTTATATCACGCGGTATATAACTGTCTTTCTGACACTCGCTGCTCGACTGACTGACGGCAGTTATTCGGCTGTTTATATATGAGATCACTTGGCAGGCTTGGTTCGAGAACCTTCTCGAATGATCTTCCGTCTCCTTCTTTTTGTTCTAGAAGCTTTTAGAACAAACCTCTCTCTCTAATTGTTCCATCGATTGTTTCCAGAACATTCCAGAATCTTCTGTGACGTTATCTGTCACCGCGGCATATATTGAGTGTTCGGAAATATGCTAGTGCATGTAGGAATGATTGGGAGGTAGGAGAGCAATCTGGGATGCGTGATACAGCATGATCGTTGTACTCCTGCCTTCCTGCTGATGTTTCTAAAGCCCCTCCAAGGGGAATATCATTACAATAATAATAATAATTAGATAATTACAATCTACAGACATGAAAATGATAAAAACTAGATAAAAAATAGATATTTACTTCCACTTTCTATCGTACGGTGATTAAAAAAAAAACATAATAAAATGGAAAGGTGAGTTGAAATTGTATTTCTTGACCTAAACTAACAAATAACATATTTTTTTAGGTTTCTCATACCCGAATGTAGTAAAAGTTCGAACATAAACATTGAACAAGAAGTGACTCCAGATCCTGTGGAAAATGATGATGAATCTCATTATTCTGATTCTGATGTTGGGAGTGACAGCAATGAAGCCATGCCCAAAAACAATTGGCAAATATACTGAAAAATGTTTACTTTTCGATTATAATAGATGAAACTACAGACATTTCCACAAAAAAATGTTTGGTTATTGTTTCACGTTTTTATGATGAAGAATTCAAAGTAACCAAGGATCATGTTCTTGGTCTCTTGGAACTACTGCTACTGCTACTTGCTACTGCAAAATCAATTTTTGAATCTATATGTGATCTTTCAAATCATTTGGATATCCCTATTACACAAATAATTGGATTTGCATCTGATAATGCAAGTGTCATGATGGGAGACTTGAATGGTGTGAAAGCAAAATTCAAGGAAATAGTGCCAGAATTATTTGTAATGCGTTGTATGTCACATTCCTTACACTTGTGTGCATCAAAGGCATGTGCCAAGTTACCTGAGAGTGTTGAACGATTAGCAAAAGACATCTATAATTACTTCTCACATAGCTCCAAAAGAAAGAAAGAATTTGAACAGTTTCAAGAGTTTGCTAATTTGAACCACATACTCTACTCAGACCATGTCAAACTAGATGGTTATCTCTTCATATGGTTGTGGACAGAATAATCGAACAATATGACCTGCTCTAATTTTATTTTTTCAGTCTGAAGCTTTAGAATCAAATATATCAGAAGCAAAGTTGATTATAAGTGGTTTAAAAAATCCAATTTTCAAGTTATATTTTCTATTTTTGTCCCGGATCTTAGCAATAGTCACGAAGATGAATACTGAGTTTCAAATAGTGAAGTGCCTCAAATTCATAAATTGATGAAAAACATCAAAACAAATTATAGAATGATACTGAAGTTTTATTTGAAAAGTAATGTTGTGAACAATACATCTTTGCATGTTTTAGATCCAAGTAATCCACATTATTTTCTAGCCTTCCACTAGTGGCGCCGGGTCTGTGAGACCTGAGCGCTCCTGTTACAGCTGATTATTTAGGCATCGTACGAGCTATGACCCTACGTTTCTCAGTACCTTCCTAGCTTTCGAGCGTGTCGCATGTGTTACAGTTACCGCTCGATCGGATTTCCGCGAATACGTTTGTTCTGCTCGAAGGGCCTGATAGACCCAGCGCCACTAGTTACGTTACAAAAATAGACAGACTGTTTTCCGAACTCAACCATAAACTGTGAGTATTACATTTCCTTCTTATGTCAGAATTTAATAATCAAATGATGATGTGATATTTTAGCTGAAATTGTCAATTATGGAATATGAAAAGGAGCAAGCTCGACTACTACGTTTACTGAAAGACGCATTTTCAGAAGATGAAGTGGTTGGTGATGAATCAGACCACGATGAATCAGAAGATGAAATCGAGGGGAGAAAGGAAAATACGGATACCGAACAAAATGGGGAAGAAGGAGAAGAAGGAGAAGAAGGAGAATAACTGATTAGTTTTAGGAGGGAAAATGCCGGTCGTGAGGAAATTGAAGAAGAGATAGATAGACTGATTATCAGAAATAAGAGATACAAGAAAGATGCCATCTTTCTAGCAAAAGATAGTAAAACTACCTGGAACAAAAATGTACCGCCTAGAAACGTACGCACTAGAAAATAAAGTCCTTCATCTTCCTGGTGTGAGACCTTCAGCTAAGCAAGCTAAATCTCCAATCGAATGTTGGGAGCTTTTTTTTTCTGATGATATATTGAATATTATTGTGGAGGAGACGAATAAATTCATAGAGACTGTATCAGTGAATTTCATGAGGAAACGTTCAGTTCGTCCCACTGATAAAACAGAAATTCGGGCTTTACTTGGACTTTTATACGTGTCTGGTATATTGAAGAGTAATCGGCTCAATTTCGAAGATATGTGGGACAGAAAAGGATGCGGAGTGGAGATATTTTGGCTCACTATGTCACAACAACGATTCTTGTTCCTCTTGAGATGCATACGGTTCGATGATTTGGAAACTCGAGAACTTAGGAAAGCTTCTGAGAAATTAGCACCGATAAGGTCAATATTTGAATCATTTGTGAACAACTGCAAGAGCAACTATACTCTTAGTGAGTACACAACCATAGATGAAATGCTGTTGGGATTCAGAGGAAGATGTGGTTTCCGACAATATATTCCCAGCAAACCCAATAAATATGGTTTGAAAATGTTCTCTTTAGTAGATTCAAAAATGTTCTACACACAGAATTTAGAAGTATATCGTCGTTGGGCTGCGAAAACCTCGTTAGCGACAAAATGCTAATTTTACAGGAGACACATAAAACTGTCCTATAACCACAATATTATTCAAAAAAATACATTTTTTTTTCTGATACTGGTAACATCAATAGGGATATTCGTGTTGTGTGATAGATATTAACGTTTTTGAAACTTTCACAAAATAAAGAAAATTGTCGCTTACGTGGTTTTTTCTAATAGAGACTTTGTGCAGTTTTGACGGATACGAGGTTTTGATGTTAGATGCGAAGAATAAAAAAGCCAACTTTCATGAAAAATCTCTTTAATTTTTTCAGAAATACGACAATATAATAGATAATAACAATATTAGGAATGCGGAAGCTTATCGTAATATCCATGGCAGTCTCGTGGAATGACTTTCTTAAGCTCTTGCAGGTGATTGAATTTCTCTCCAGATATTTTCAATCTTGCAGGATAAAGTTGTAGTAGTTCGAATGGTCCCTTCTTTATGCGCTGTGGTAGCTGAAGCCATTCATCAGTCACATTGATCTTGTAAAGTATTTCACCCTCTGGAGAATATTTATAAGAGCAGACATCTGTCACTACGGGATCGCCTGAGCCCTTTCCGGGTCTAACAGATGGAACATAATGAAGAGCTGAGAAATACTTGGTGATCCAAGTAATGAACTTGATAAGGCTGCTTTGGTCTAGCTTCTCTACAGATTCTGGCATAATCGGATGGAAGGTAGCCTTCCTTGTTTCTCAGTTTTCCCTCAATGGTACTGTGTACGCTATCGACCTCCATTTGAGTATGACCTTTTTCAAGATAATGCTGAGTTATTATGACTTTCTTATCCACAGCAAACTTCAGAAGTGCATTTCCCAAAACAGCATTCCTGTTCTGGTATGTGCAACTATCGCTAATAATCATCACCGAATCAGCCCTGTGCTTTTCTACTTCTTTTTCAAGGAAATCTATCACACAGCTGGCAAAAACTGCTGCTACAAGACCACCTTCACTTTCGTTCCATAAATAGCAAGTGACATCTTTTGTAGCAATGTTGTGAAGTGTGAAATTATGCACACATAATTTCATTTTATAATAAAGAGCGCTAGCTTCCAACATTGGGGATAGCTTCACGGCCTGTAAATCCATTGTGTATGTTAGCTGCTCTCCTCTGATTGCTTTCTCTTTTTCCAGTTTTTTCTGCTCTCTTTTCTCGTCCTTACGCTTTACATGTCCTGCATATATTTCCTCAGATACATGCTTTTGTTTATATCCAATGCAAGTATCGCACTGGTCCTTTTTTGGTTGAAAAAGTCCCAAGTTCTTGCTCCTAAATATCTCAAGGAACTGTTTTCTAGCCAATGCTTCTTTCCCCTCATTTACACACATTTGATGGTAGATTCTATGAAGCTCAGATTTTGATTCAATTATTGGCTCTAAGTATTCCTTAGATGTGGAAGCTCGACAGTAGTGGGATGGCATTTTCTGTAGCCTATTCAGAAAAGTAGCTGCAAATTTCTTTTTTCATCTTTTTCTAAGGTTTTGGGGTTATTGTCATTAGGAGGCCTACTCATTGTGTCTTGGTGCATACCATCTTTACTTTTCATGACCCAGTTACTCACTGTCCATTCTCTCAATCCAAATGTCGACAAAAACAAAGTTTTGCAGATTAGGTGCAGCGCATTATTGATCTCCAGATTGTAATGTAATGTACCTTTTCTTCGAGATGGATTCCCATTTGCTTTCCTGATTCGATTTATATACACTTTTCTCTGCTTCCAATCCACATGTTGCCAATTTTTTCTGTCATCTTCTAAGATGCTAGGACATTCTCTCGTTTGTACTCTTCTGCACTCATTGCTCGAACAAGGTGGACCCATTTTTCTGGCTATTCTGTCGATACTGTAGCTCTTTCTTCCAGCTTGGTCCTTCTGAATACCACTATAATTTTCGCCTTTCATACGTTTGAACTTATTTTTATTACGTTGCCATTCCTCAGGTTTTGCCTTTACATTCCTTTTTTTCTTCGGTTGGTAAGATTCATTTTCACTATCAGGATTTGGAGCAATGACGTTTTCAATATCTTCATCATCTCCACTTTCTCCACTGACATCACTGTCAGACTCGTCATGGGAAGGCCTACAGCTTGAATCTGAAGCAACATCGCCAGTAGCTTCCTCATGTTGAATTTCTGGAACATCACCATCAAGGATAACAGCATCATTGGCATGGGAATTCCTGAGAAAAATATACCCATCACAAAAATTCGAGATGTCGCAAAAATTAGGGAACGGATTAACTTCATCTTCATCTTCAGAAGCTGTTTGAACGTAGTTTTCATTGGGAAGAATCTCATCGTGAAGTAAACTGCAAATATTTTGTAGTGATTAGGAAAACTATTCATTAGTGGAATTTGAAATAAGCGGACTTTATCGTCGCAAAAATAGAAATTATTGAATCTCACTCACATTGAATGTTCATCACCAACCTCGTCAATAGCTTCGTCATGTTGAAAAACTGGAATATCATCACCATTATGGATTATTATTGGTATAGGAAATCCTGAGAAAAATATAAGCCATTACAAAGATTATAGTTGCCGCAAAAATTAAATTACGGATTCACTTACACTGATTCCTCTTCAGAAGCTGCTTGTATGTAGTTTTCATTGGGCAGAATCCCATCTTGAAGTAGGCTACAAGTGGCAATTAGGAAAAACGTTAACTAAATTTGAAATCAGAATTGAAATTGAGAATAGCACTACTAGGGGGCTCAAATAAGGTGGTATTTCAATTTTGTTTTTTATCATAAGAATATAATAAAAGAAGTGGGCTTCATTGTTGCAAAAGTAGAACTTATTAAATCCCACTCACTTTCCATCACCTAGCTCTAGGATGAACTCAATATTTGGGGTTTCATCTAGGATCGCAGGTGGGTTGATGATCCCTTCTGAATTCTCTTTAACCAAGTTCAGCAATTTCCATCCTCTGCTCTTTGGATCCATTATTTGTCTTATCGGAAATTCCTATATTTGAAAGAAAATGATTGTTTTTCTGTTACCTACTCAGAGTTGCTGATTTGAATACCAAAATCGAATTTTCATTTAGTCCTGCTAGGACGAAAAACACGTAAGCGCATAACGAAGTTATGTTTTTCAATACGAGAAAATCACGTAATTGCCAGCCTCATTGTGTTTTATCATCAAAACAGCATCCGAAGGGTTACTTTTCGTTAAATGAAATTAGTTTAACCTCAGATAACGATAGATATGAAATAAATAGTACTCACCGATAAAAAGTAAAACTTATTATTAACACAAAGCCTCACACGAAACAAACACAGCGCATACACATGACCGCCATAGCATTCTATGTCGCTTACGAGCTTGCATTGCCCAGAAAAATGCATGAGGCGCTTACGTGGTTACATCAAATGACTACATACATGCGTTCTATTGGTCAACGACTTGTGAGCTTTTCGCAGAACACGCGTGGACAGATATTTGATCGAACAAACACCTAAGCCCAATTTAGGCATGCGTGCCGCTTAAGAGGTTTTCGTAGCTCAACGACGATATGTTGGGCAACAACCAGAAGGACCGTTTCGAGTGGAGAACGATGCGGCAAGTATTGTTGAACGGTTGATTTAGCCTATATCCAAAACAGGCCGCAACCTCACTTGCGATAATTGGTTCACAAGTATCAAACTCATCGATTCTTTATTACGCGATGATAAATTGACTTATGTTGGTACTATTCGAAAAAACAAACGAGAACTTCCGATCGAGTTTCTGAGCGTGAAAAACAGGCCAGTTATGTCTAGTATGTTTGGATATCAAAAAAATATCACTCTGGTGTCCTACATCCCAAAAAAGGAAAAAACATTATACTTGCCTCCAGCCTTCATCATGATGACAGCATCGATCCTACTTCGGCTGACAAATATAAACCAGAAATCATCACCTTTTATAATTCAACGAAAGGTGGGGTTGATACAGTAGACTTATTATCGTCGAACTATGATGTCGCGCGCAAAACGAGAAGATGGCCTATGGTAATTTTTTATGCTCTCATGAACGTAGCTGGGATCAATGCTCAAATAATACATAGTGCCAATAATCCTGATTCAAAGTTGTTGAGACGAAAGTTCCTAAAAGCCATCGCCCTATCGTTGGTAGACGACCATTGTAAACGCCGCTCTCTGGCAGTCAATGTACCAACCAAAGTACAACAAAGACGTCGTGAAGTAGCTGGAACTACAGTTGATCATGACCAACAACCAGAAATTCCTGATGGGATCAGAAAAAGGTGTTCTGAGTGTCACAATGACAGAAAAACAAAATATTATTGTATTACATGTAGAACATTTTTATGTCTGAGTCATGTCAAAATTTTATGTTCAAACTGTCTCGACAAATCTCAAAACTCAGATAAATGAGGCAATACGTTCATAGACTAAATACTCCATCAAAAAATGTGATTATATTATATTGGAATAAATATTTTTTGCACATCCTGTATTTTTAGTCACGAAATTCAGTAGTCATAGTATATTCGTCAATTATTCAAATATATGACAGTTTATTGATCAGAATCAAGTTTTTTGTGAACAGCAAATATCGATGTTCAAGGCTGAATATGGAATTTCATTTGAAAAAATTCACACTGTCAATGAGCGTTTGTTTGAATTTGGGGTCTGTCAGACCCGGCGCTACCAGTTGTGATAAAATATTAGGCGGCACTAGTGCAGGGCTAGAGTTGGATGCAATTTATTTGGGGCATGCTGTAGAATCGTTTTTAGAAAATATTAATATACCCAGTGGAGATTTGAAGCAATTTCGTTTGAAATGCTTAGATTTTTATGTGATACTGGCCAAAGAGATCAAATCAAGGGTAGATTTCAATGATAAGTTTCTAACTGATTTAGACATTATCAATCTCACAAACATATTCAATGATGAAAAACAGAGCATTAGTAGAATAAGTCAAAGATTTTCCCACATATTTAATAATATTCAACTGGAGAATATCAGTTTTGAATGGAGAATGATATCAGAAGTAAAACCTGATAGTAACATAGTTTGCATTGAAGAACTTATTTCATATCTAGCCAATCAGAATAATGCTTGTGGTGACCAGATATTTGAAAATTTGATTAAGTTATTGAAAGTCATCACCTCACTTCCACATAGTAATGCGGCTGCTGAAAGGCTTTTTTCTACATTAAGTTCAATCAAAACGAAATACAGAAATGCTCTATCTATTGAGAAATGTAATGCATTACTTCTATGCAAGCAATTATTGAAGAACACAGAATGTTTCAATTGGCGTCCTCCCGAAGAGTTGGTGGAATTGGCTCAGAGAATGAACAGTAAGAAGTAATGCAATACTGAAATCAGTTATGAAAAGTTTCCTATTTTTGTAAACAGTTCAATGTTGTTTTTTTCTTTGTATAAAAGAATTTTATTTTTTGTTAAATGTTTTCACATAGGTAAATAGTTTCAGACGTGTTTGATACTTTAGACTGAATCGAGAGTGGAGACTGAAACTGAAATATTTGAATGTTCTTTTGATGTTATTAGGCGGGCGGCCGACTGACGAACTTCATAAAGTGTGCTTCATGAATAGAGTTTTTTAACACATGCTTCTATATGAGTTGACTCAGACTGCGACGAGGTCTTTCGATTGTCATCGATCATGCGCAATCGTTTTGTTAGAAATATCTGACTGGTTTGAAATTACTATGAAGTGAAATCTAAAAACTCAACTGGACATTGTGTTCTATGAGCTGATAGTGTCTATGAATTTTGTCGAGATACAATGGTAAACCCCGTTTATTTATATTCTGTGGTTCTGTGAAGTAAGTTTATTTCTAAGACATTGGCAACCCTGGAATGAAATATATGGATGTCAAGTGTCACTGTCAAATAAGTAGTTAGATGTTGTCTGTCAAAAATTATAATAAGAGAAACCTCGTGTTAAAATTTTTCAGTAAAATAAGTTTATTACAAAATAAAATAATATTCATAACTTATCGACTTCCATAAACCAAACCAATTCAAACAGGTTATGGGCCCAGACATGGTCTGATAGGTAGTCGGTCGGTACAAGTGAATAAAAAAACTGAAAAAAAAATGAACCAAATACAAAATCCCGTTCAATCGTTGAAACTCGATGGGGAAAATTGGATAGTATGGAGATTCCAAACATCAGTTATACTGAAAGGGCGAGGACTCTACGAAATTGTGAATGGCGACAAGCCGAAACTAACAGTAGCTGAAGAAGTATCTAACTGGCTAAAAGAAGATGCTAAAGCACAAGAACTTCTTGTAACCAAAATGGAACAAGGACCACTCACTCAATTATTATTCTGTGAAAAGGCAAAGGATA